CGTTATGGTAGGAGTTACTAATGGTAGTTATTGGCCAGTCAGCCACTATGAAAGAAATGGGTAGTTGCGAGCAGAGTGCAAGCGGTTGAGAACCGTCCAAGGAGTATAAAAGGAAGAGGAAAGCAATGAAGAAAACTCCCGACAAAATTCACTCTCAAACAGAAAATATGTAATTTATTTTTTCTTAGATTTACTTTAATTATTTTAATCTCTTTGTACTTGTGTGTTTGCGCCCCTTGGAGGCATCTTGTTCGGATTCAAACTATAATCTTCATATTCGATAAATACCCCTTTTTGGGACTTTGTTCCAAGAGATTTGTTCCCTACACAATAGTCTGATCATCTTTTAATTGTTAGCGAGTAACCACGCGAAATAAAGTAATTTTAAAAAACTATAGATTTTTACTTTCCAACATCTATGCATCCTCATACCATTAGATTTCTTTAAAAAAGTAAATTATTTTCAAAATTGAATAGGAAATTAATTAATATGCAAGAAAGAGCTATTATTACATAGATGCAAGCAAACAATTCCTTCATTCAGATTACACAAAAAAGGAAGCGCACACTAACAAAATTTAAAGTTGCAACAAGCAGCACACACTAGTATTAATTGATCTCCTAAAGAAGAGATCTCCATTTTGCTCAGCATTTAACACTTTGGCATGTCTGGAGGCGGACGCAGCAATTTAGCATCTCGGCTCTTGCCATTTTTAACAATGAATACCATTCCCATTCCCCAACTTATATGACGCTCAAAATGGCAATGCATCAACCAGACTCCAGGATTATTTGCCTTGAATCTGATTGCTGTCCAACCGTTTCTTGGAACTGCAATTGTTTCCATTAGAGGAGGGTCTGCGAGATTATAATGTTTAGGGTCTTCATCTTTATCAAAGTTTCCCATTCCCCATCCAACTACGTAAAAGCTATGTCCATGTAAGTGCATGGGATGATCTATCCCTGCAACTGTGTTTGTTCCTTGGAAGACAAGCTCCACCGTGGAATTGTAGTCAAGAACTACTACATCTGTCCCATTTTGAGGCGTCCACAGGTCTTGAGGGACAAAATCTTGAGTATAATTGAATTGAAATGGTGGATTTTTCGGAAAGTCATTTTCATAAACATCTTTGATATGCTCGTAATAAGCTTGAAGAATGTCGATTCTAGGCAGCTGAAAGGTTATGTTATTCACACTTGCTGAAAGACGGTTGTTGAAAGGTCCCTCACATGAACTATTGGCGCAAGGGATTGTATTGATGGAAAGGGTGAAGAATAATTTAGTTTTCACATTTAAAGGAACATCAACAGGATATTTCTTAGTTGCTAAACTTTTGAGTTGTCCTGTGAAATTAACTGAAGCACTCGTATCATTGAAATCAGGAAAAGTTGGGATTAATAGCGATGCTGGTGGAGTATATTTTCCTCGATACTTAACAATAGCTGTTGTAGTCGTGTTGTCATAAATGCCTGCACTGGCATAAACCCTTGAAGCCATGTAGTAATGGCCAGGTTTCTGGTTAGCTTTTAACAAAAAATCAATGGTTTGGCCAGGAGAGATGGTAATATAATCACTATTTATGGGCTTAGTATAGCTCGCATCTGATCCAACAACAGTTATATTGTGGTTTGCAATTTTAAAGAACATAATGTTGTTCATGACAGCATTAACCATTCTGAGCAAATAAGTCTTTCCATAGTCCACTGTCAACTTGAATGTATCTGCAATTTTATAACCCAAAAGAGTGTTAATTTGATGCTTATCTTATAGCCACATGATGGGTACTTATTTTTAAACATAAGCCCAGACAAGTATGTCACATACGAATTCAATTCTATTTCTTTAATACAACTTTACAAATATTTATTATCGAGCCGGCTAGGTAAGGTTGGCATATACGCCTCCTTTGTACTGATTTTTCTATCAATATATATGGTGGTGGACAAAACTTGACATTTCAGGACATCTTTAATTAATTCTATGGATCAGAGCAAGAAGGTTGTTAAGACTTTTTTCTATCAATGTATAATGAATACTGAATAGACGCTCGGGTTCAAAATTATTAATCAATGCATTCCATAGATTTCTATATAGGTGTATAAAATCGCATTTAAACTTGCATATGAAATATAAATTTTGCATATATAACATATGTTTTGAATCTAAATGGAGCCTCAGATAATGTCTATTTTTTCTATGTCATATCAGAAATAATTTTTTTTTTTTAAAAAATAGAATCAGTTTTGTTTGTGGCACAATTTTTAAGCATCCACGATTGTGTCGAAGATACTTTGTAATTTAAAAACAAAAATAACAGTTAAAATTTAGCTACAAACCTGATCTTGAGCATGGATATAGATCCCCAGGTTGGCCATTTATAAGGAACGCATCGGAATTATTTGGATCCCCTCCACTTGCCAGGAATTCACTAAGAACCTCTTCCACGTCACTTTTCCACCACTCTCCTGAATCGCAACAGCTTCAAACATTGAGTTACTCCTGGTTCTCCTTTTATTCTGTTCTGTACTTTAAGAATTTCTCCAATTCGAAACAAAATAATTTTTGGGCATCCAAACATATACATACCTAGAATGATGAGTTGTTCTGCATGAGGCTTGGGGAAGGGATAGTCGTTTTTCTTCTTTGGATAAATAACGATTGCACCATAAACAGTTGCCCGTGACCACTCACTATGAGCGTGCCACCATAAAGTTCCTTCCTCATCTGAAAGCACGATCCTTTGGCTAAACTTTGTTCCAGGTCGAATTGGGCATTGTGTGACGTACTCAGGACCATCTGACCATGGATACCTCGGCATTTTCACTCCATGCCTGTAAAATCAATAAAATTCTAATTCAAGTCTTGTTTTTCAACCCATAATACAAATATAAGTATTGCTATACGAATTGTAGGTTAGCCCCAGTTTGACGTAGCTAAAACTCAGAATTTTAGTAGGTTTCAATAAAAATTGATGAAACGTAGATTGAAAAGTGTTGGGTTTCATAAAATGAGTCGTTAGAATTAATTTTTGACTTTGACTTAAATTTTTATCAAAATTTTAATCCACACAAAACATGGACTTAGTAATATTTACCAGTGAATAGTGATGTTTGCATTTGCTCGGTTATAAACATCAACAATGATCGTTTCACCTTTAGTGGCATATATAGTTGGTCCTGGAAATTGCCCGTTTATCGTTAAGATAGTCTTATTGGTGCAAAGCCTTGTGTATGGAGTCTCTCTCAACTGCAGAAACAGAAGGTTAGCTTCAAAATCATGAAATTGTGTACTGTCAAAAAGTGGAATATTAGAGGTTATTAAGAAAGGAAAAGAAACTGAAATTTATCTATACTATTCTCTAGTATATATGTCCACTATCGAATACCAAACATGGCGTGATAGACACAAGCATTATCATACTCACCACATACTTATAGCGACGTTCCAAAGCATCAGTCGGCAGTACAATTCCGAGAAGAAGAAACCCGATGAGATGTGAGATGAAAACTTTCATATTCAACCACATTAATATTTCGTAGCTTTATTCGACTATTGTTTCTTGTGCTGTTCATTAAACGAATTCTTACAAGTATATATAAGGTCTGAAACCGAAGAAAGCTGGGGGCTGCTTCTTTTCTCCCACGTTCTTTATCTGATTATAAATTATTTTTGGCCTTCATAGAAAGTACTGTATTGGACCTTTTCCGACGGGAAGAAATTGTCTTCATCAATGTCTAAACGAATCTTCATATACTATGAATCGATAATCATATGATTTTTTTTTTTTGGGTTAGGTATAATGAAACCTTATTGGGTTAAATAAAAAATGTTTTTGGATGGATTAGGTATAATTCTACTGTATGCATCTCACTGGTTGCCCACAATAGAAAGATAAATCATTTATGGTTTTTAAAATCCTCTTCTGCGATCTACCGAACATTGATTTATATTAAACTCCTTTTGACGATCACTTTTTTTTAAAACTCCTTCTTTTATATACTCATTTTCAATCACACATTCACCAAATAAAATATTTTTGCACGTAAATCCGAAAAATTTCCCTACTTTTTACCCGCATATTCTCCAAAAACCCCCTATTTAAAACTTTGTTTTTGCCAAATAATGGTCATCAGATAATCTTCAAGATCCAGACAAAATCTAGGTTGTTCAATTGGTGAATAATATGTAATATTCGGTCATGTCCCTATGTGTTGGATAATAATTGAAACACCATAGTAGAAATATGTGTCTAGCTGTTAAGCTTTAACAATCCTCTATTTTAAGTTCAGTCATTCTAAGCGATAAAAAATTTAAGTTTAGTCAGTCTAAAAAGTTTATGAGAACTGCTACATTTACAGTCATTAATTAGTGTGCCCCACATTCATGTGAGAGGACTATACATTTTACAGCCCTTAATGACTGTACAAGTGCATTTTCCCACAGTTTAATCTTCGGCTTTGTCTTACTATGTAACTAAGCTTGTGTAGATTAAATGCGTCTTTGCATTAAACTATAACATAGATGTTTTTGGTAAATGAGTAGCAGTAATTTGAACATGATGTTTGTTTACTTTGATCGGATTAAAATTTTAAAAATTACAAAGAAAATATTTATTTATTTTTTATCTAGGAAAACTAGAAAAATGAAAAGTTGACAAAAGAAAATTATAGGTAAAATACAGGGAAAAAAATGTTTTTTTTTTATAGGTAAATTTCACAATCATGAAAATGACAAAATTGAGTTAAATTAATTGTAGGGAATGCAGTTCATGATTTAATATATTAAAATAGTTAATAAGTTACAAGTGTGGCTGTAGAGCTCTAATTAAGAATGTCCATTTAGCCAAAAAAAATAAGACGTTGGTGGTCTATTATATATTAACTAATTAATAATCAATGTGTTAGATGGGAATATTCTTCCAAGTCTAGCTCCTCTTACATTTATTTTAAATTCGCACATGTCAATTAATCTTTTAAAAATGTGCAATTTTTAATAACAAACACGTGAAGTAATTCTTTAAATTAAAAAATTAATAATAAAGACCAATTACTTAAACGTGAAATGCTCCCACAAACCACCCCTAATTTTAATCTAAAAATCATCTAACACTATCTTCAAAAATTTTACACACTAACTTTTTGACACTCTGGGTATTTTATACACCAATTATAACTGAGAAACTGAAACTGAATCTAATTTTTCTGATTTTAATCTGTACCAAACACGATATTTAAAAGTTGTATGATATTACTAAAAGCTGATAAAAGTTGGGATCTCATAAAATGTGTGATAAAAAATAAATAAAAATTGTGAATTAATAAAATATGTGGTTAAAATTGAACTAATCTTCTATCAATCTATTATTCTATAATATATTATAAGAAATTAATGGCTCTCAATAAGCCCTATACACATGAAAGGAGGAAAATGTTGGAGAAATCAAATCAAGATGAAAACTAAGCAAGCTTCAATAAGAAAGGAAGATGAAGGATGAGAAAAAGTAAGGGAAAAAAAGGAAAATTTGCACACCACAAAAAATAACATAAAGAAACAATAGATGGAAGAAGAAATATCAGTGCAGAATCTTGAAGAATGGAAAGGAAAAATATGGGCGAGGAAAATTAGCAAATGTAATCATTATGAGGGTGCTTGTTTGGAAATTGTTTATAAATAGATGAAAATGAGTGTTGATTAAGTAAGTACTACTCGTGTTTCATACAAAAAGTGTAGATAAAAAATAAAATGACTATTTTTTGACAATTTATAAATTATTTATAAATACATATCAACATATGTTAAGGCGTCGTAAAAGAACGTTGCCAAGCACCAATGGAGAACAGAAGATAGACACAAAGTTGAGAAAGGCGATAAAAAATAACAAGGGGTGCTTTTTGACTTTGTGTAAAGATATATTGAGATCTTGAAAAGATTTTGTACATCAAATCATTGTTGCACTCCCCAAACTACTACCTCATGGTTCTCACTTTCGATTTCATTCACTTCGATCTAAGATTAGTGTTATTCACGAGCCTATCATTTTAGCACGACATGATATAGATGTATCACTAAATATTTTTCAACCGAATTTTATTTTCTTTGTTTTTGGTTAGCTTATTAATTATGTAGCATCTAGTCATTCATAGTTTCGATAGTCATCACGGCGGATCCTTGAAAGGAAAAATTAGCCCATAGACGAGGTAAAGTTTGGGAATTTTCTTTTTTTCATAAAATTGCTCAAAAGAAATTTTCACACCTCGAATGCTCATGTCCAAGGGCTCCTCTGACAGGATTTTCGAAAAGTCAAAAACTGCTTTTGAAATTAAAAAGTTGTTTTTCAACATGTATGTAGAGAAAACTAATATAAGGTAGCTTCAAGAAAGCTCTTTAATAAAAAGTGAGAACAAAAACAAAAGTTCTAAAACTGATCCCGATAATATTCTAAATTAATTTACCCTAAAATCTAATTGTAGTTCCGCCCCCATTAAGAAATTTGCAAGGTCTCATTATTAATGTTATTATACATGAAAACGAAGTTATATAAAAAAAAAAAAAAACATTAACCACTTTCACGAGCAACCTCTTGGTCCATTGTATTAAAA